CTGGGACGCCTTGGACGCGGGAGACGAGATTTGGACCGATGGAACGGGACGAGCGCGACGCGTTGAGGACGTGTGGGTGTTGCCGATGGACACGTCAGCGACGTAATTGACCCGTTGAGGATGTCGAAGACGCGGCGGACGGGCTCTGGACGTCCAGAGCGCGTCCAGAAGTTCCGTCAGGGAGTTTACAAAGCGGGCCATATCGACTAAATCTTCAGTGACGAGCAACAGTGGGTGGCCGTAAATTTACGACATATTTTGTAAATTTGAGTTACGAAATATTTTGTAAATTTACAGAGATTTTTTTCACAGTGACCCTCCCCCTCGCGCGCTACCCCCCTCCAATCGATATGAAGCTCAACGGGGGTGGAAAAAGAGGGGGGTAGAAGAAGGGCGGGGGGAGGAGGGCGGCGGCTGGGGTCGGGAGAGAAGGTAGGCCGTTATACGCAGGGATCGGACTGACGCTGTTCCAAGTGCAAGGTCGAATCCTTGCGCCGCGCCGCGCCCCCCGCCCCCTCCCCTCCCCGGCAGCGGGGTACCCGAGGGTACGTTGAACCCCGTGTTGAAACCTCTCGGCGTGGCACGGCTTAAGCGCCCGCCCTATCGGTGCCGCCGTTTTGGCCGAGGTCTTGGCACGGGCTTTTGCGACCGTCTGGAGGCCGACGTCACCACGATGTCGCGGCGGCGGCGCCGTTTTGGTGGCGTCGCGACGCCTCGCCGTGGAGCCAAAGAAACAGAAGAGGCGTCGTCGCGGCGGCGGTGGCGGCGTCTGGTCTGGCGGGCCGCGCGGTCTTGGGGAAGGTCAGGGTGGGGGAGGGCGGGGCACTTGGCTCCGCACTTGTGGACCGTAGGTCTCGAAAGACCTCTGGCTCACGTACCGTCCGGTCCCTCTTACCCCTCCCTGCCCCGAGGCCGGAGGCCGGAGGCCCTGCTCTGGCTCCTGGCTGGCGTGGCCCCGGCTGGCGGCGGATACGGATACTCATTGTTCTGCGGCTCACCCTTGCTCCGCAGTACTCCGCCGCTCTGCCCCGGCTTGTGAATTATTTGGTCCCGAGTATCTGACCCCGCGGCCCCCCGGCCCCGGCCCGCCTCTTGCCCCTTCGTCTTTCCGTTCACCCCCGAACCCCTGTCCCCGTCCGGCCAAGGGCACTTCAAGACCGCCCCACCAGCGAGGTTAATTCCCGCTCGCTTAGGACCGCCGCCGCTCCCTCAAAGCCCTCCCCATGACGAGTGTCTCACGCCACCAACTTTGATTACATCTTTTAATCCCCTACTGGGGTGTAGAGAGGGGAGGGGACAAGGTTAAGGTTGGGGTTATTTTTTTTGTTTGTGTTTTGTTTTTTTTC